AAAAAGCTATGGGAATTCAACAGGCTGTTGTGCACCATAAACTTAGTTAAACAATTCAATTTTTACACATGAGGAAAGAGCTGTTATTTAGCTTTTCTATGATACCTTTCGTAAACCGTAACGATGCGAAATGGCCACATACTCGTCAAATGAAAATTGTCGGTCGAAATCACATTCTTCCACCGTTGGGAATTAATTATGCAGAGTTAATCGATCCAAAAGCAACGCGAGCCTGCTGCCGAAGGTATTTGTTTCGTAAAACGTTTTGATTACGAATGTTCTCTGTTCAGTGGTTAATTGAACCATGTTTAAAGGCAGTAATGACGTTCTTATTGTTTTACTAATACGAAGGTTGAAGAGTTGAGCTCATTTTAGGTAATTTAACATTCAACTTTAATTCCCTCTTGGGAATTGACCATTTGCGTAATAGACTCAATTTTGATCTCAACAAAAATTTCATTACAGCTTGAAGGAGCATCACAAAATTAGTAATATTCCAAAGTTTCGTTGCAAAATGTTGTAAAATGCGGAAAATATAGCCTTGCGAAATTTGCAATTTTCAGTAATTTTAGATTACAAACCGGAAATTGACAGCCTCGAAGGGTTTGGGGCTGTCAATTTCCCGTTTGTAATCTAAAATGACTGAAAATTGCACATTTGGCAAGGCTATATTTTCCGCATTTTACAACATTTTGCAACGAAACTTTGGAATATTACTAATTTTGTGATGCTCCTTCAAGCTGTGATGAAATTTTTGTCTAGACTTGTTTAGTTCAAAATTTAGTCTATTACGCAAATGGTCAATTGTCTGTGTTGCATTTTCCATGCAATTCCCAACGGTGAAAGAATGTGACTTCGACCGGCAATTCTTAGGCAGCGTTTACACTGTACCGTTTTCGTAGCGTTCTCGTATTGTTCGAGAGAACTAGACTATTGTCTTGCGTTCCCTTGAGGATTAAGAACAATACGAGAACGCTACGAAAACGGTACAGTGTAAACGCTGCCTCATTTGACGAGTATCTGGCCATTTCTCATCGTTTCGATTTAAAAAGAGTATCACTGAAAAGCTAAATAACTATTATTTCGTCTCATGTAAAATTGAATTGTTTAGCCACGTTTATGATGCACGGCAGCCTGTTGAATTTCCATAGCGTTTTTTTTTAGACACCCTGTATAGTTGGTGTCAAAGTACAATTTTTCTGTTTGCCGATTGGTCAAAACCGTATCACGTGCCGGTCCACAAAACGTCATGTTCGGCAACCGCTCCACAATGAAACATTTATTGACCGGTCAATAATAAAATGGATGCAATGCGCATGCGCGTCAACCATGAAGTTCGCCTCGGGCAACAACGGCGGTCTCGGGTCCACAAAACACACTGTTTCCCTCGGTCTCAGTAAATAAACCAGCGTAGGTAGCCTGCACAGTATAAATATGAGTATTCATGAAATGTGAATGTATCTAGTAAGTCTTTGTCTGTATATTTTTATCATAGTTAATGAGAGTATATGAAGAAATTCTTTAGGAATTCGTCTGGATGTTTGTAAACTTTAACTTTTTTCATTACAGTAGCTTTGAGTTAAAATATATGTTGAAAAACAAGCAAATTGCGAGTAAAATTGTTAAACATTAACTTTTTATTGTATTCAGAATTATGTAAAATGCCCCCAAAACGCACTAAATAGCAATTTTGGAGTCTCCAGATTTCAAAATTTTCCGGGGGAAGATGCCCCCGCCCGGCCTCCCGTACGAAACTCGTCACTTCAGCGCTCGCTCAATGGGCCCTTTTCCAAGTTAAGGCCCCCCCCCCCCCACACACACACTTGTAAATCTTTAGAATATGCCTTGGCAGCGCTATAATAGGGGGATTCAACTACCTCAAAAATACAATTAAAACTTCGACGTTTTGAAACAAAGGCCACTCACTCGTTCTAACGTGACTGACAAAGGGCCTTCGCAAACTTGTCGACAAAAGAGACCTTACGATTTTAGGACGGCAACGCGACGGCAACGGCTACCAATACAATAGATTATTGAAAAGAATTGAGTAATTACAATATATGAATAATTTAGACATTGTCCTCGCTCTGTTGACGACGCCAAATCACAGATTTTCACGTCTTGATACAACACCTGCATTCCAAGCAAGCCACAACAAGTGCAACTTCAAACTGGGTTTAGCAGAACTCTTCCCAACCATAAAACCCATGTCTTCAACTTCTAAAACTGTATTAAATTCATACGATTGATAATATACCACGAACTATCTTTACTACCATTTATTTGAAAGAGTTTGTTTTGGCCGTCGCCGTCCTAAAATCGTAAGGTCTCTAATGGGCCCTCGCTCGAAACCTCGAAGCTTTACTTGTATTGTTTACGTAGTTGAATCTCTACACGCGTAAAAATTGAGAAAATCAACAAGTTGTTCCAGGTTGATATCAACAGGCGTGAACAAGGTTGTGCGCCCTGTATCAATTTCCTTTCTTATTTCTTAGCGCTTTACAGTCAACTCGGCCCACTAACCAACTCGGCCCATCGTTCAAGGACCAACTCTGCCCGCTTGTAAACTGACTAATCTAACCAATAAGCAAGCTAGGAGCCATGACTGCGTTCTATCTTTGCAAATTTTGAGAGAGATTTGAATGATCAGTAATTTAGTATCAAAACGGACAGATCGAGAATTTGAAACTTCGATAGATTCTTTAATTAAATTAAGTCAAACTGGATGTTCTCAAACTTTACTCATCTGTACGCCCAATGCAACTACAAATGGCTGTATTGGTTTGGTGCTATCTTTTGTAAACTATTAGCTTTCCTAATATGTCAAACAGTAGTTAACAATTGGGCCAAGATGGTATGGGCCGAGTTGGTCAGTGGGCCGAGTTGACCAGCTTCCTTTCTTAGCTTGTCTAGCAGACATTCTTCTAATCATTCTAAACGATTGGAACGGTTAGAATTCGCACACACAACACTGGAGTGAAACTCGAATGTAACTTCAACTTACAAAATCGTTGAGAAATGTAATGAAAGGTCGTTGAGGCCGGCTCACGGATTCTGAGATCAAATGAAAGTGACAGAAAGAATTAGAGCAGTTTGTAGTTGTTTTTGCAAACGGGCACCGTGCGAATTTTGCCATTTGTCGTGCTTCTTTTGCTAAAACAAAAGAACGAACGCGTGCTCCAGACCGATTTCCGTTTCTGAAAGGCCCGATTCGCAGGCAAACAGTGCGCGCAAAGCAGGCTGGTCATATCCCATTGTTTAAGTTAACTGCCCCACACTCAAGTAACCACAAAGACTCACAGATGTTGGTTCGCAACATTCCTGAGTAAAAAAGAACACCAATCATGAGATATATTATGTTGTGATAATGTAGCATTATTTAAACAAAGTTTTGACAGGTACGCCAAAATGTTTTTCGGTTTTGAACGCTTTTCATTGCAAATACGCGACTGCAAATGCGTCATTGCAAGTATGTCTCTTAAAGTTTTCATGAGTGCCGTACAATAATCTCTTATTTTTCATTCAGTTCAGGGCACGGAGGTTTGGTGAATTCTAGTGGTAATTCATTATCAAGCGCTTTTGGTCCTCCAAGATCACAACAAGTGAGTTTATTTCTTGGTATTTCATTGAACCATCATCATTGCCACCACCATCATCATCATCATTACCACCACCATCATCATCATTACCACCACCATCATCATCATCACCACCATCATTACCACCACCATCATCATCACCACCATCATTACCACCACCATTATCATCACCACCACCATCATTACCACCACCATCATCATCACCACCATCATCATTACCACCACCATCATCACCACCATCATTACCACCACCATCATCATCACCACCATCATCATTACCACCATCATTACCACCATCATCATTACCACCACCATCATCACCACCATCATTACCACCATCATCATCATCATCATCACCACCATCATTACCACCACTATCATCATCACCACCATTATTACCACCACCATGACCTTACACCATCATCACCATGACCTTACACCATCATCACCACCACTATCATTACCATCAACACCACTATCATTACCATCAACACCACTATCATTACCATCAACACCACCCTCACCTTACACCATCATCACCTTACACCATCATCACCACCATCATCTTAATTACCATCATCACCTCCCCCACAATCACCACCATCATCACCACCATCATCACCACCACCATCACCATCATAATCACCACCATCATCACCACCACCATCACCACCACCATCATCACCACCACCATCATCA